CAATATCAAAAAATTAGAATTAAAAAATGTTAGCGATCTTTCTAGGCCTATGGGCACAGACATGTACTCCTGGCTACTGCAGGGATGGAGACAGGAGGACTGCGTTTCAGTTCAGCTACTGTCTTCACAGAAATGGACAGGTTTGGACCCTACAGTTCATATGAATGGTCAACAGACCAAAACAACCAAAACAGTCTTGACTCATACTTTCTATCCCATCAAGAAATTGAAAAAGCAGCCTACAAAACAGAAAAACATAAGCGACCAATCGGATAACAGATTATATCTTGAAATGTATGAATTACCAATATAACTCAGTAATAAAAATACAAGGGCTGGGTGTGGGGCACATGTGTTAATCCAGCACTCAGGATGCAGAACAAAACAAAAATTAGGACTGGAGACACGGGCCAATAAGCAGAGCACTGGGGCTTGCTGACCAGCCAGCTTACGCAGTGAGAAAGGATTAAACTCTTGCACACACGTGCACAATCACTGCACACATACATGCACTTGTGCACACACAAACATGCATACATGCACACAAAAGTAAAATAAAAAGTTAGGACAGTTTTAAAAATATATGATGAACAGAAATTAGAAAACAACCTATTTAAGAAGAGGCATACAAGCTAACTAGAAAGTTTTCCAAAAACACACACAACACCCACTTGATAGCCATCAGGGGAATGCAAGCTCAAGCGCGATGGGACGCCATTTATACACGGGAAGATTGCTGTACGGAAGGAAGAAGGCAGAGAAAAGCAAGTGTTTAGCGAAATTTGGAAGGGCTGGAAACCCTCTGCACGACTACAAACATAAAATGTGCAGCCACCTTGGAAGTCTTCCAGTATCTCAAAATGTACAACACAGCATAACTGTAGGACAGCCTTTCTATCCCTGCATGTATATCAGAAGAAACAAAAAAGCACGTTCACGCAAAAAAATTGACGTTACTGTTCGCAGCAGCATTACTAAGTGGAGAGAGGGGCCAGCAGGTTGGCTCAAAGGATTAAGGGACTTGAAGGCAAGGCTGGCACGTGAATTCAAACCCCAGGACCCACAGATTAGGAGACAACTGACTCCTACAAGCTGTCCTCTAACTTGCATACACCCACAGTGTCATGCCCATGTCTATATACAGGAACTCAATATTTATTTATTTATTCATTTATTTATTTGTTTGTTTATTTATTTGTTTATTTATTTATTTTAGTGGAAATAAAGGGTTCGGTATTTAAGGGTTCTTACTATTCTTTCAGGGGACCTGGGTTCAGTTCTTCACTTCCACATGGCAGTTTGCAACCCCCTGTAACTCCGGTTCCAGGGGATCTGGTGCCCTCTTCAGACCTCTGCAGGCTCACACGCACATGTGGTGCACTCAAGCACATGTGCCCAGGCACGAACACGTGTGGAGATACTTCAAAAATCCATCAACCGATGAATGGATAAACAAAATGATAAAATGGATTATCATTCAGTCATAAAAGGGAATGTGCTACAGTTTAAGTATAGCTTGCTCCCCCTCAAAAGCTCATGTTGAGCCTGGTGGTGGTGGTGCACGCCTCTGATACCAGCACTTGGGAGGCAGAGGCAGGCAGATCTCTGTGAGTTCAAGTCTAGCCTAGTCTACAGAGTGAGTTCCGAGACAGCCATGGCTACACAGAGAAACCCTATCTTGAAAAACCAAAACCAAAACCAAACCAAAAGTCACATTGAAGTTTAGAGTGAAAACTTAGTCTAACTATGGTATTTAGAGATGAGCCTCTGGAGGCAGGCAGCACGAATAAGTCATCAGACTAGAACTTTTGTGACTGACTCCTTGTAGTTTTATAAGCATAGAGCTCATATGCACGTGCCCAGGCCCTCTGTCTCGTGCCTTATATGCACTGCACTGCCTTAAAACCCTACTAGCAAGACTGTCACCAAATACAGCTCCTCTTCAGCCTTGTACTCAGAGCAAAATAAACTTTCTCTCTCTCTTTTTTTTTTTTTTCAGTGCTGGGAAGGGGACCCACAGCCTTCCATATACTAGGCAAGCACTCTGCTACCACAGTCCTAAACCTCTTTTCTTTAAAGTATATCTAGTGCACTGTAGACAAATGACTACAAACAAGGCTGGAGCAATAGCTTGTGCCTGTAATCCCAGTTCTTGGGATGAAGAGACAGAACTGCAGTGAGTTCAAAGCCATCTTGGATATTGATGCCTCACACCTCTGGGTATATCTAGGGGCCTGGGAGAAGCTTCATTATAAATGTGATCAATACTAGATTGTAGGCTGAACACCTGGATGTAATAAAACTGGAAAAAGGGGAAGGCCATTCCCTCAATCTCCATCTTGTCTATTAAGTGAAAAACAGCCTCCACCACCATCCACTACCAGGATGTGGTTTGCTTGGCTCAAATGCATGTGGCCAAGCAAACACAGCCTGAAGCCTCTAAAACTGTGAATCAAGACACCTTTCTTTAAGTTGTTTATGTCAGATATTGCCTTGGTGCTTAAAAAAAAAAAAAAAGAGTTAATATGCTAATCTATCAGGTTGGTTTATTTCAAAACCCCTGGAGAGTCTAAGTACCAGATTTTATTTATTATTTAACTGCAAAACAAAATTATAAGAGACCTGTATCACAGGCTAGTCATAGATTTAGAACATACAGTTAGCTTAAGATAGCAATATGTCAGCTCCAAATCGTGTAACAAGGAACAGGCATCTCTATTAGAGTCGTGACCACAAAATCTCAATAATGCTCTGGGGTTCTAGGACTCAGAACTTTAGCCAGGTGTTTTGAAACCCTGCTCCATGAATCCTTGATCAAGTTGACTCTTTTGGTTTATTTTTTTTTAAAAATTAGAGTTAGTGTTTACTACGAAATGACGGAAGCCGGGCATGGTGTAGAATGGCTTTAATCCCAGCATTTGGGAGGCAGAGGCAGGTGGATCACTGTGAGTTCCAGTCCAGCCTGATCTACAAAGCAAGTCCAGGTCAGCCAGTATAGCTGTGGGCCTCTCAAGAGAGTCATGTTGAAGTGCCTTTTTTGTTGAGTTTTTTCTTAGTTTTGTTTTCTTTAGTTTTGGGGTTTGGTTTTACTTTGTAGCCAAGGCTAGCCTCAAACATGTAACAGTCCCCCTACCTCAGCCTCCCTGAATACTAAAATTACAGGCATAAACATTATGTCCAGCTATACATAAGAAGCTTAACAACAGCTTTTACATGGCTTTGATGGTTTCTGCAGTTTATAGTGATGAAGGGGTTAAAAAGTTAAGCATATGACGTATGTCAACTTACATCTGTAATTCTAGCACTTTCCCAGGGCTGAAACAGGACTGCCATGAGTTTTAGGCCAGCCTGGGCTAGAGTGGCAATGTCTCAAAAGGAGAAAAAACAATTAAGTACAAAACTGTTTTAGTGCATTTACTAAATGAGATTATAAGGTGGTTATTATGAGGCATAGAAAAGAAAACATAGGTCAAAGATTAAAGGAATCTCAAGATACATGAGTCATAAGGAATGCCAGGCCTAAGCTCTGACTATGAATGTGATTCATAATCTTGTTAAAAAGTCCTTGATTCTCAGCCAGCAGGGGTGAAGGAATCCTTTCCCTTTCATGTGTCACGATTTTCCTTGTCTTTCTCTTTCCATGAATACAAAACTTTAAATTCCTCAATAAAGCAAAAATGTACACTCAGAGGAAGCCATTTACTTTTCCACAGCTTTGCAGATGCTTAGATTTAAAGCCGAATGTTTAAAACACTGGGCCGTGGAGATGGCTTAACACCAAGTTTAACCACCTGAGCTTAATAATCCCTGGAATCTACATAATGGAAAGAGAGGAATTATGCCTTGAAGCTGTCTTCTGACCAACACAGGCCACATTGGCGCACACACAAATATACACATGCACACAATAGTCTAGGCATGAGGCTCTCTAAACTCAAAGCCAGCTTGGAAAGTTAACAAGTTCCAGGATAGCCAGGGCTATACAGCGAGACAATGTCTCAAAACAAACACACATATACACAATAAGTAAATATAATTTTTAAAACATTAAATTATGCTGCTTGGCCCTCACTTGTAGGTATAAAGTTATTGTGTAATTCAAATGCTGATTTCTGTACTCCCAATATCTGACTGTAGTCCTTGTCCTGAGTCCAATCTCCTGTCTCAATATTGTGTAAACACTGCTCCCCAATTATCCCCTGGTATGCCAACAAGGCAGCTTATAGCTGACTGCTGAGCAGGAGACAGAATACGGCTGGACTTCCTGTCAGCCAGGGGAGGAGGAATTGGAAGAGGAAGTAGAGGATTCAGCCACAGGCACATGTCCAAAGGACATCAAGAGAAGGAGCAGGAGTGGGAAAGCTAGAAAGTGCCAGAATCTCTGATGCTGGGAGGAAGCCAGATTAGCCTAGTGTGCTAAAAATAGATTGACAACTGCTCAGTTCTTGTGCTGTGAAGCTTGTTAAAATAATATAATAGAGTCTCAATTATTTGTGTGATAGCCAGGTTACAAGAGAAACTAAGCTGGGCAAGGTGGTGCACACCTGTGAGCACAGCACTCAGAGAGGCAGAGGCAGAGGCAGACAGATCTGTGAGTTCAAGGCCAACCTGGTCTACAGAGTGAGTCTAGGACAGCCAGAGAAACCCAGGACAGAGAAACCCAGTCTCAAAAGAGAGGGAGTGAGAGAGCAAGAGTGAGGGAGAGAGAGAGAAAGGAGGGAGAGAGAGAGAGAGAGAGAGAGAGGAGAAACTGAGAAACAAATAGTTTAATAAAAATAACTGTAACACTCACTATGCTCATCCTTTGTTTGCTTTTCATTTACTTCCCCATCATTTCTATGGAATCCTGTGTGGTGACTGGGCTCTGACTCTTATGGTTTGTTAGTAAATATACGTCAGTGAGTAACACTACTCATTTAGTCACTTTTTTTAATCTTCTCAGACAGCTAAGAGTTAATCTTTAGTCCCCATAGGAAAACACAGGGCGAATCTTCACATACCTGAGGGCAGATGAAGCCAGCCCTGAACATGATGCTCCTCACGGAAGAAGAAAGAGCCTTGATGGGAATGAGGTTATCTGCAAAGATCATCATGAAGTTACTGAACACGGTCAAATGGAAGACTTGGAGGAAATTCACGATGAGAAAAAGAAAGAAGTTCCTTTGTGACAAGATTTGTCTCATCAGTAAGATGGCCGAGGTCCACGAGGCTCCTGTTCACTCTGGAAAGGAAGTTTCCCTCGGGGTTTCTTATGGAACACGCCACGGTAAAGACTGGTAGCTGCCAGGAGAGCGACGATGACAGTAACGGTCTTGAATTTGGGCAGGCTCTCCATGTTGTGAGAGATGAGGCTACAGAAAAGGATGCTGGTGGAGCCCGCCAGAGATGCTGCTTGACTCCTTCTGCTCCGCTGCAACCTGCTCTCATGCTTGGGGGAGGTTTCCGCAAACAAGCCACTCTGGGCTTGCTGCACCCAGGCAAGGGTGCTGCCAAGTGCGCCCAGGGAGACGACCAGCTGGAGTCCACTAAGCCAGTCACCTTCTCGGTAGTGTTTCCAAGGGAACCAAGGGAGCAAGGCCACCGCATGCGAGAGGGCTCCAAACAGAGAACAATGGTAATTTAGACCGCAATCATACTGAGAGTTCATGCAACAGTACCCACTCAGGTCACTGAGAACATTCCAGATCATTAAAATTACCTAGGGAGAAAAAAATACACATAGGATTATTTTGTATAGCTGTTAGTGGTGTAGACTGCTACATTCAAGATGACACTGACACCTGAGGCTGAGGATGGCAGCACGTGCCTGTAATCTCACCCCCAGGAGGCTGGAGGAAGATCATTGAGACCTGCCTGAGCTACTAGTACCAGAGAGCAGAAGGGAGAGAGGGAGGAAGAGAGGGAAGGCAGGAAGCAGGAAGGAAGAAATCCCTGACTTTTTTTTTCCCCCTGCTTTTACTTATGAGAAGTATCTAAAGCTGAAAAATCTCGGTTTTCAGAACTATTAATCAGCATCAATAACAGTGCCTGGCGTGATGGTGCGTCCCTTTAATCCCAGCACTCGGGAGGCAGAGGCAGGTCTCTGTAAGTTCGAGGCCAGCCTGGTCTATAAAGTGAATTCCAAGACAGCCAGGGCTGTTATACAGAGAAACCCTGCCTCAAAAGAACCTAAAAGAAAAATTTTTAATTAATAAAAAATAATAGTTAACAGTATGCATATTTGTTTTGTACTCTGGTACGGTACATGTGTTTACATGTATTGTTTTATCAAATCTTTTTTAAAAATCACTACTCTCCAAGATAAGTACTGTATTCCTCCCAACTTACAAAGCTGCATACCAAAGACAGAGAAGGTAAGCAACTCATCCAGGTAACTAACCAGAGTAACACAGGAACCAAAGAATGTGTCTCCCATTGTGGCACACAGGGCGCATACTTCCTCATGGAATTCAGGCCCTTTTGCTAAAAATTTATTTTATTCATTTGTTTTAGTTTATGTCTAGGAATGTTTTGTCTACATGTATGTCTGTGCACCATGTGCTTGTTCGATACCCAAGGAGGCAGAGGAGGGCACCCGATCCCCTGGAACTGGAGTTACAAATGGTTGTGAACCATCATGTGGGCACTAGGAACTGAACCCAGGCTTTCTAGAAGAGCAAAAAGTGTTCTGAACCAATGAGCCATTTCTCTACCCTTCCAAGACGCCATTTTGCATACCTATACTAAGAAAAGTTAAGATAGCAGGGTGGAGGTAGCACATGACTTTAATCCCAGCACTTGGGGGGCAGAGGCAGGCAGATCTCTGTCAGTTAGAGGCCAGCCTCGTCTACAGAGCAAGTTCCAGGACAGCCAGGGCTACACAGAGAAACCCTGACTCAAAAACAAAAACAAAAAACGTTAAGATATCAATAATAATAAATTAATCAACATAGTAAATATGTAGTTCTGTAATAAGCAACATCAGAAAGCCCAAGGAAAAATGCAAACACATTATAGCTATCCATTCAGCTCATGTATGATAAGTTATAATGCAAATTTGTCAATATCATCAAGCTTTTCAAGGTATAGCATAGCATCTGTGCTGGGTCATTTTAGGTCAACTCAACACCAGTTGGGGTCACCTGAGAGGGGAGAACCTCAACTGAGAAAATGCCCTCATAAGATCAGGCTGCAGGCAAGACTGTAGGGCTTTTTCTTAATCAGTGATTGATGTCCATGTTGGTGAGGACATACCTGAGCAAATAAATGATCCTATCAGAAAGCAGGTTAAGAAAGTTATGGGGAGGAGCAAGCCTGTAAGGGGCAATCCTCTATGGCCTCTGCCTCAGCTCCTGCTCCAGATTTCTGAGCTGCTTGAGTTCCTGCCCTGACTTCTTCGGTGACAGACTGTGATGTGGAGTGTGGCCCAAACTCTCTCCTCCCTAACTTGTTTTTGGCCATGGTGTTTTATCACAGCAACAGTAATCATTAAGACTCTACTTTTCTTTCGTCCCTTTCTTCTCTCACAACCCATTCCCTTCGCCTCTCTTTTCTCTCCCTCCTTCCTCCTTCCCTCTCTTTCTTTTTGAGATAGGATCCCTCTGTGTTGAATTCTCAACAATCCTCTCAGCTTAAGTACTGAAATTACAGGTTTGCATCACCACAGCACACACATTTTTTCTTGATAGCTCTTGCAAGTATGTAAAGAATCCACTCTTTGATAAATGACAGCAACATACCACTGTAAGGGAAAAAAATAAAAAAGCTCTGTCCTACATTTAAGGGAGTAAAGATTGTACCTCACCTGGGACTGATAGAAGGCCAACTCTGAAACCTTGTATAGTTCCAAGAAAAGTTTCACATAGTAGAAACTGAAGAAAGAACTTAACGTTTTAGTTCCTAGTGTAATCAGAAAGTATGACCAGGCTGTGGATTTGATATTTAAAAGTGTCATTTTCCATGCAGAGGAAGTTTTCCCTCCTGTGTTAAAAAAAAAAAAAAAAGCTTTAATTCATTATTTGCAGACAGTAGATGATACATAATAAATTTAATAAAATTCCATTACACTAGTTATTTTAGTTAGAGCCCCCCAAAATACTTGTTGTTAATGTTACCAGATCTCTTTGTCTATTTATTTATACTCATTCATCATTTTGGGACGTTGCCTGAGCCCCAATTTGCATAAAGTATGACTCTAATATTTGTGTATGTGTGCTCGCACACAGAGACCATATGTCAACACTGAGTATCTTCTGCTATTGTTTTTCACTTTTTTTTTTTTTTAAGACAAGGTCTCTCACTGAGCCAAGATCTCACCTATTCAGCAAGACTAGTGACCAGAAAAACCCAGGCAGCTTCCTGTCTCTGCTCCCCCAGAGCTAGGATTACAGCATATGCCACCACACCTGACGTTTTGTTTTCTCACATGGACGCTGAGGATTGAACTCAGGTCCTCATGTTTATAACAGTAGGCACTTTAAACAGCTGGGCCATCTCCCCAGCCTCTGCTTAAACTGTCATATTTCTTCTGCATTATAAAGTGAGACTTATGCAGCAGTTTGGGCATGCTTATCTGGTGGTCAAGGCAATATGGTTACACATCAGCCTCCCTAGTGGAGGAGGAACAGAAGATGATAGAGAGATGGTGGCCTTTTGGTAAAGCCAGAGAGAAGGAATAGAAGCTCCTTATCTGTGATAAGCTGCTCATTCCACAGCATACACTTGCAGTGAAATAGTTACTTAACCTTCTCTAGATAAGACTGTGCAGCTTTGATCCAAAGGCCGTATCTCAGAGGAATACAGAAATAATATAGTTCTGTTCTATGCCCCTCTTAAACAGAACATATCACCTTACCTTCTAGTCTTTACAACTGGAAAATAAGGAAAGGTTAGCTCAGTAGGAAGATGTAAACTCTGCTTGTTTTTCCCAGACAGGGTACTCGTATACTCAAAGGCTGACCTCAAACTTGCCATGTAGCAGAGGCTCGTCCTGAATTCCTGCCTCTACCTCCCAAGTGCTAGAGTTACAGGTGGACACCACCATGCCCAGTTTGTTAGGGGAACAAGGCCAGAGTCTCATGTACGCTAGGCAAGCATATTACCAACTTAGCTACCTCTCCAGCCCAGATTAACTTTTTAAAAGTTGATTATTGATTCTATGCTTAAGATACTGTAGCTCAGGCTGGCTTTGAACTTTGATTCTCCCTGCCTCAGCCTCCTGCATGCTAGAATTAGGGGGAATATACTACTGCACCCCACTAATCTTCATTATCCTTGGCTTACTACTACATACGAACTTTCTCCAGCTCTCTCAAGACTTGGTGCATTGGGGAAGAGAGGAGTTTCCACATAATCTGAGGATGTTATTTGCTTGGATAGTCCTCGGCCTTCTGCTTTAACCTCAGAGAATCAGGAAGAAAGTGAGGCAGACAACTCAGGCTAATGTTTCCAGTTCCTTAGGGAGAAGAAAGGTAAGTTGGAAGGGAATTCACACCACAGATCAAGTTATTGGTACCTGGAACCACAAAGAAAACAAAAAAAAAAAAAAAAATAACCAAACAAAACAAAAGTTGGGTGTGTTGGTGTAGACCACCACTCTTGGTGGAGGGAGGGCAGAGGAAGGATGTTCAAAGACATGATTTCAAGACCAGCCTTGGTCATTTGAACACCTGTGTCAACCTGTCCCCATCAGTTATTGGTTCCCAGACTTAACCTTCTGGTGGACCCAAGAATCAGTTTAGTTGTATGTGTCACAGAGTTCCAGAATTGCATACCTGTAATCATAGCTCCCTGGGGGGCTGAGGGAGGAAGATCATGAGCCTGGAGCCAGCCTGGGTTAAACACTGAGACTTTGCCTCACAGATTAAAAACAAAAGCTTACTGAATCCATTTGAAACACTATTAGTAGATTAATAAAGAGTTTTTTGCTGTTTCTGGGGATGTAGCTCATTGGTAGAGTGCACTCGTAGTATGAGGATGACCCTGAGTTCACTCCCCAGTACTGCAATAACAGCGGTGAAATGTTTTATCCTTGTTGTAGTTGTACTTTTTTTTTTTTTTTAGATTATGGGTGTGGACTGGCGCTGGTGTATGCATGTGAGTCTGGGTGTGAGTGAGGCCACCTGGAGCTAGAGTTAACTAGTAAGTCCCCTCTCCAGCCTCCTGGTTGTAGCTTTTAAATGCAGGTAAATTCTGCTTTAATGATAAAATACAAATCTGCTTTTCATTTCATTATTGCGCAGTTCTCAAGGCTTAAGAAGTCCAAGTACTACAGTATCAGAAGGTCAGTCAACATTTTTGGCTTTAAAAGGTAACTCTCAGACTAGAAAAGCTGGAGGTCCTGGTGAAGGCTTCACCGGAGGGATTTGCTTTTGGTGAGAGTTCGAATAAAGACTGAGGCTAGAGGTCACCCTGTTACCTGGTCAAAGACACAGCAAGTCTTCAGAGCCCAAAGCCAACAAACAAATTCAGCCCACCAAAAATCTGGGCATCCTTTTCTTCTTTTATTTCAGGTTTTCTATAATAAGCATGCTGTGCCTTTCTGAACTGCTCTGTCATTAAGTCAGAAGGGAGACATTCACAGACTTAGATTCTTGCAAAGTCTCGTAACTCCCCAAGCTCAATTTTTTTATTTTTTATTTTTAAGAATTTGAGTTAAATGCCCAGCCTGACTGAAGTAAGGAACACAAAGTTTTAATAGCACTGTGGAAAAAAATCTGTCCTAACTTTTTACTTCTAGTTACTGAAGAAATAACATCTTCCTTAATTCCCTTACAAAAAGACACATCAATATTTTCCTTTCAATTTCTTCCAAGGTTTATTTCATTATCAAACTGAAAATCATTTCTCATCCTTTAAAAGCTGCTATTACTGCCTAAAGCTGATTTTAAATAACTTTAAATGATTTTACTGTAAGATGCAGAGTGTTTGATCTTTGCAGCCAAGAACAAAAGATTCCAGAAGCCAACCTGTCTTTACCACAGCGTGTTTCATAGAAAAGAGATTAAAAGCAGCAGAACACAGTCGTCATAAGGTTGGATGAGTACACCATATACTGGTAAATTATTAAGTAACCCCTGAAACCCTCTGTTTAGCATCAACTTGCAGAGTTATTCACTAACCTGCTTCTAGGCCAAATTTGATCACTGCAGACGCTATTTGTGATTGCTTCATGGAGGCCCTTTTTGTTATTGTTGTTTTTTTGAGATAGGGTTTCTCTGTGTAGCAGAGCCCTTGGCTATCTTAGACTCACTTTGTGGACCAGGCTGGCTTTGAACTCACAGAGATCCACCTGCCTCTCCAGCGCCGGGATTAAAGGCCTGCACCCCCACACCCGGCTACAGGGTCTTTTCTAAGGCAGAGCGTTTCTCAATGCACTTTTTGTTCAGGATTTTGCAGACCACACACAGAAATGGTCTATGAAAATAGCATCCCTAAAGATGAACCCACAGGCCCATCCCAAAATGAATAGTCTGTTGGGTTTGTTCCTTATTTCCTTTGAAAATTGTTAAAGAACACTAATTACCCCCCCCCCCCCAAAATTTGGAACTCCTTGCTTATTTATTGTGTTAAGGAGGTGTGTATGTCCCAATATGCAAGTGGAGATCAGAGGACAACTTAGTCCTTGCCTTGCACCATGTGGGTTCCTGGCATCAAACTTAAGCTTGTCAGGTAAGGAAGCACCTGTATGCACTGAACTATCTGGCCTGATCTACTTTGGTTTGCTTCTGCCTGTGTGGTCTGTTCTCTGAGACTGGGTTTCGCTATGTAGCACAGGTTGGTATCAAACTCACAACTCTCCTCTGTTTCCATATCCCCAGCGCTGAGGGGACCACCATCCCCGGCTAATATTACTTTGTTATTACTTTTATATTTCTGATTGGCATTCCCCTACAAGAAGAAAAAAACTTTTTCTCATTTATATTGCCGTATCGTCAACAGGTTGCAATCTGTTACTATTACTACTTATTTTGATATACTCATGGGCTGGGATTGTGGCTCAGCACTTTTTCTTGAATGTGAGTGGAGGGGGGAAAAAGAAAAAGAAGGGAGAGGCAACGAGAGAATTAAGTAAATTATTTTGATGCTGTTGTTTTTAGCACTACCTTCACAATAAATCTTAGAAATAACACAGCTTTACTGGGCAGTTTCTTTGATTTTCATGAAGAGGAAAACCTTGCTAGAGCAACCTCACGGTAGGGGCAAGGTGTGATGGCGTGTGCCTTTTATCTCAGTACTCTGGAGGTAGAGCCAGCCTGATCTACATAGCGAGCGCCAGGCCAGCTGGGGCCGTACAGCGAGAGCCTGGGCAAACAACATAAACAAACCTCACAACGCGGAGGCTTGTTCGTCCTTCACAAGCCCACCTTCCCAGGGGCAGGTGCTCAGCGTTACACAGATTTGAGCAAAGGTGCATGTTACAACCCGTAAGAATGAGGAAGGGGCTGGAGCTACAGCTCAGGGGTAAAGTGATTATCTGAAATGCACGAGGCACCCTTAGTACTGAAAAAAAAAAAAAAAGAAAGAAAAATTAGCGTTAAGTTTTCTTCGTCCAAATTACCCAAGATCTAACTCTGAGGACCTGTAATTTCCTCCTAGCAATTTCTATTTTAAACCATAGTGATCTGTGTACATTTTTTTAAGGCCACGACTGACGCTTTTCTTTTCTTTTTTTTTGGACAAGGTAAAATTACTACCGCTTTCCACTTTAGTTCTAGTGACTCCAGGAGGTATCTAGCGGCTCACTACTGCCAAAGCTGAGCGTTTCCTCCCCTGCTCTCCTCACTTCTGTGACCATTTTTCTCCTTTCCTCCACAGACGATACCAGCTCTAACATCCTCAACAGCTGCGCCGACCTTGCCTTGTTTGAGTTTCCACGTGTGAGGGACCCAACTACGCTAAAAGCTCAACCCAAGAAGCAGCAGTTTTAGGTCTGCGTCAACAAGCGGACTCTGCCCTGCGGGCCATCAACGCGACGCCTGCTCCGAGGCAATACAAACCTTTAAAAAAATTATTATTTTTTTTTTTAATGCAAAACTGCCGGCAACTTTTCCCAAGGGAGGCGGCTCCCACGGGCCGAACCCGGCCTTGGAGGGCCAAGTGGGGTTGGGGACCGCCGTTTTAGGGGTTCATTTCCATCCCCGGGGAGGCCGGGGCTCCGACCTCCAGGAGCAGTTTTCCCTCTACAGCAGCGTTCTCTCGGCCCTAACCTCGCGACGAACCCCGAGTCTCCCTCCGCGCGTCACCGAGGGCAGAGCCGAGGAGGGCTAGCCCGCTTCCGAAACCTCTCGGGTGGGAAGAGGATGCCCGGAGCCGCGACACCCTCGCCAGTTGGGCACAACACGGCAGGGAGCAAAGCTGAGGTCACCGCAGGCACCTCCGCGCTCCGGAACTGGCGCGCACTCACTGAGTAGCCGCGACACAGACAAAAGGGGAGGGGCCGCCGGCCGCACCCTCTCCGCTCTTCCCCGCCTCCTTTGTTCCCCTCCGAGCTCTTATTGGCTGGCGGCCCGCGAACCCGCTCTCTGCTCCGAGATCCTATTGGCTGGAGTCGCTGCCGCTCCCCCGACGGCCCATTCGCGATTGGTCAAGTCGCCGCTCGGGTTTGAATCATCTCCCCGGCTTGGGAGGGTTCTGCCAAAGTGCCACGTTGGGCCGGGCAGCGGGCGTGAGGAGCCGGCTCCGGGTGCCACCCGGGGCGCGCTCTCGCTAGGGCACTGGCTGTTGGGCGGCGGGAGCTGCGGCGGGGGCCGGCGCGTCCTGCCCGAGGGCGGCTCTGGCTGAGGGCGGCGGGGCCGGGGGACAGCCCGGGGCAGCGGCCGAAACGGCGGGGCGGCGGCCGAGCCCGCTGCCCCCGGACGCCCCCGGCGAAATGCTGGCCGATAACCTGGTGGAGGAGTTTGAGATGGAGGAGGAGCCCTGGTACGACCACCGGGACCTCCAGCAAGGTGAGGGGGAGCTCGCCGGGGTTGGGGCTCGAGGTCGGGGGCCCGGTTGGGGGGAGCATGGCGGGTGGCAGGTGTGGAAAGTGCTAGAAAGTTCCTTGGGTTGGAGGTTCGGGGTGCGGGGCCGGGGGTCTCCCCGCGCTCACCTGGCAGAGGATCCGCCCATCCCGGCCGCAAGGAGCAAGCGCGCGGCCCACGGCTCTGCGGATGCGCAGCACGGGCTGCTGCGCGGCGCTTGAAGAAAGCGCTTGGGGCGGGGGCGGGGGGTGAACGGATCCATCCCCTTCGTGCACCTCCGAGGTGGGCAGGGGTGAGCTCTAGAAGGAAGCGGCTGACCCGGCTCCGGGTCCTCCGGGTCCCGCTTTCTCTCAGGCGCCTTCCACCGCCGGCAGAGCCTGCAAGCCGCTGCGGGGGGGGGGGGGGGGGGGGGGGG